GTAGCATGCCCTACAGACTTCAAATTCAGCAGCCTACTGTAAAGTCCTCACATGGAAAGTCTGTCTAACTGTGTGTATGCTAAATCACTTGTTATTGCTGTGTATGCTTGTGTAGTTCAAATCAGTCTGGTGCATCTGCTCACTTCTCCTTACATGATGCCAGATTTTTGTTTGTTTCTCTTTTTTGTTACAATGATTGTACATGAGACGGACAAAAAATGTAAATACCTCCCGGTATACAACACATATAACACACATATCGAGAACAAATACTGCAAGTCCAATTCCGTATTGACACACGCATCACTCAAAACGCACCTTTGTATACATGACTACTATAACAGGGTTATTGCATTGCACAGCATTATACTTTGCAGGTGTACCTAACAAATGGGCCAGTGAGTGCACATAAATAAATAATGACCTATACAGCTCAACAGCAGCACAAAAGGCAGCCGCCATGAAACAGAATCAACACCTGTCAAAGAGAAAAGAAAAGAAAAAATTTGAGGAATGATGAGCGTCACATATTCTGGGTTCCGCTGCAGAGCGGTTGTATCTCACTGCACTGGGTCTGCCGGATAAACTGGGTCATCACTGTTTGACCAGCTGTCAAAGGTTCTTGCTGTTTGTCTTGACACAGAACTCCAGGCATGATTAATTAGCAATCCGGTCACAGCAGTGATTTGGAACTTTGTCCTCATGTGTCAGCGCTACGATGCTTAAACAGTTCTCTTAGACTGTAGAATACCTTTCAGACAACTTACACTAATGTCACTGCAGACAGAGCTGGAGCATATCCAGATTATCTGACGAGCTGCTGCTGCTATTGGAGATATTTTAAAGTGAGGGACCAAGAGTGATATATGATTAGCATGCAGTAGTGTAACCCTACAGGAAGACCACCCTGCTTTCTTATTTGGAATTTTAGAGGTCTCTCTTCCCTAATGTCAAGAGTTGTAATGTGCTTGCCTCTGCTTAATTGCTATTCTGCACATGAAGCGGTGTGGAGCCAAATAGCAACCCCCCCCCCCCCCCTAGATAGGACCTCGTTTGTTTAACTCTGAGGGTGGGGAATCTGTCTTCCGTGGACATATCCGTACGGACAAGTTGACTTCTTACGGCTGCAGAGATGTTTAATTTTTCATTGGCTACTGTCTGCCAGACAATGATGACTGAAATGTCTCATGGCTGTAATTGTATAGTACCCTCAATTCTGGCCTGACTTGATACGGGCAGATGGCAAAGATCAGCTGAAATAAGAAATTCATGAGAAAAAAAAAGAAGCAGATTCTGTTAAAGTTTCATTAATTCCTGCCTGTATGCCAGACTGTACAGATAACCACAGTATAGGCTAGGTGTCAGAGTGCAATTTGACACACACCTGACATCCATTACTTGGAGTCAGCAGATGCTGTCACTTCCATGGCAACAAAGAAACATAATTTATGAGGATTCAGTGGCTCCTACCGCAGACAACCACTGCACACCCAAGTATTACAGAAGTGCAATATAGATGGATGATAAGCAATCATTATCGGAGCATTTCATTTCATTTCATTTCTGGACACATACGCTTTCACACACAGTTTCACTGCTGCTTGAGTAATACCTGCACTTTCAACTCGACTGCTATAAACAATATTTACAATTCAGATTCGTCCATCCAGAACAACGGGGGAGGGGGTGGGGGGGGCAGCCGCTTAAAAGAAAACAGTCGCATAGGAAAAGAAAATCCATTCAAGTTAATGCTTCTGTCAAATCCAGGGAAATATAAAAATGGAAGGGATTGTTCTGCTTTGCCATACAGGATGATCTGTCTTCCCAGCATTTGCCTTCAAACTTGTCTGATCTCATCCATCCTTAAACCTTCAAACGTGAGTGGTGTTTGTCAGTGTCGTACTGGGCACAGCAGAAAAACAAGAGGTTTGAAGCCCGACTGATGAAAACGGACCAAAATGTATATAAATATTAAAATAAATCAATCAGTCAAACTGCTTATTTTAATCTGGGGCAAATTAGGCAGCCTGTCAGATGTGGCTACTGTGAGAAAAACGGCTAGGACTGATCGCATCCACCAAGCTTGACAATTAGAATGGACAGTGTGCGACAGAGAGAGGCTGAAGGAAAATGTCTGTGAAAATGGAAAAAAGTTGTGAGAGAGCACATGCGTATGTGTGACGTTGTGTTCGAAAAGGTGACACAGCCTGCTGCCAGCAGTGTTTACTAAGTGAGTAATTGAGGCACGCATACACAAACACACAATTGGCTCATTTATGTTTATTGTTCTCTCAAAATTTGCACTTAACTATCATTTCTTCAGGCAGGAAGATTGACACCATGCTCGCAGCTGTAAAGATGAAGTTAGAGCCAAAGTTAGTTTGGCTTATCATAAGGACTGGATACAAGAAACAGCTTGCTCTAAGTACCCACTCAGTTTTGGCCGCTCAGCACATTTAGGCATGCAGATATGATCAAGACGATCTGCTGAAGTTCAAGCCGAGCATTAGAGTGGGGAAGAGGGGTGATTTAAGTGACCATTATAGTGGTGTTGTGAAAGCCACGGGGGCTGGTCTGAGTACTTTAGAAACTGCTGAGATTTTCCTGCACAACCATCTCTAGGGTTTACACAGAACGGTCGAACAAAGAGAAAATATCCAGCGAGTGGCAATTCGCTGAACCAAAATGTCTTGTTGAAACCGGAGGTCAGAGGAGAATGGCCAGACTGCTTGGAGCAGACAGGAAGGCAACAGCAACTCAAATAACCACCTGTAACAACTAAGGTGGCAGAAGAGCATCTCTGAAGCCACAACTTGAAGCAGATGGGCTAGAGCAGTAGAGGATCACTCCAGGTGCCACTCCTGTGAGCTGACAACAGGAAACTGAGGCTACTATTCGCATGGGACCACTGAAAGTAAACAACAGAAGATTGGAAAAATGTTGCTAGATCTGATGAGTCTGTTTCTCATCCAGATGGTAGGGTCAGAACTGGGCATAAACAAAGTGAAAGCATGGATCGATCCTCCCTTATGTTAATGATTCAGGCTGCTGCTGCTGCTGTAATACTGTTGAGCATATTTTCTTGGCACACTTTGAACATTATTTAAACACCGTAACCTACCCGAGTATTGACCACAGTGTACCCATCTCATGATGGCTGCTTCCAGCAGGATAACACATCGTGTCATAAAGCTCAGATCAACTTATATCGAATGGTTTCTTGAACATGACAATGAGGTCAGATGGTCTCTACAATCCCCAGATGTGGTGGAAGAGGGGATTTGCATAATGGATATGCAGCTGACAAATCTGCAGCAACTGTGTGATGCTATTACATCAATGTGGACCAAAATCTCTGGGGAATGTTGAATCTGTGCCATAAATGATAAAGGCGGCTGTGATACAGTTGCTGCACTTGTCTAATCATTGTAGCTTAAACCAAAGCAGGTGCCGACTCCTAACCTAAAAGCTAGTCAACTCAAAGTGAAAACAAAGCTCAGCTGTTAGTGAAAAAAGAACACGAAACATGGCATTCAGGTTAACAGTGTGGTGATTTATGTCACTGACAGCCCACCTGTTTTTTTAAAAACAAGTATTAAGGCCGTCCAGACAACGTCCATCTGCTTACACACACATATACTCATGTTGGTTATTACAAAGTGCTGTAACTTTGGAGCTTGTTAGAAAATTTGTAAGAGATTTAAACATGGTGTTTACTGTTTGTGCAGCGTCTACAAGCAAGTGTCTCCACATGAATCGGAAGAAACTGAAGACAATGGGCCAAAGTTTCGCTAACTGAAACTGTCTGCATTGTATTTGTGGTCTGAGTCTGACTTAACCAATCATGTTTGAGCAGGTAATCCATCACCAATCCATCAAATAGCAAGCATAGACCTGGATATACTGATATCGTGGCTAAAGCAGAAGACCTGGAAATTTGGCTCCTCCTCCCAGAGGCTAGTTAGTGAGGTTCCCAGACTGATGTATGTGTGTTTGCCTCTTATTATAATCATGTAGTCTGTTAGTAAGTGGGCAGCAGTTTCATGCTCTGTATTCTTTTATAAAAGGTTCTTGGTTAGTGGAAATGAAATGCTTTTGCTTTGCATTAAATCCATCTGGATATCCATCCATGGTCAGTATACAGTATATAGTGGACTGTGTACGGCACCTTCATGGTGGTGCAAATACAATGGCTGATTTATTACTTTATCTGGTTTCCTTTGAATTGTTAGCCGTGTGTACTTTGTCAGTTAGGGTCGCACTCTACACCTGTTGTCTGAGTACAATTTAATTGTCAAAAATAGCAAAACAGAAGCAAAAGCACATCCTAGAAAAAAGGTTTAAAATGCATTTTAAAAAACTATGAATTTAAACTTGTTACATTTTTGGCCACATTAGTTTGTTCTATTCATTTAAAATAAGATATACATGTGATATAGCAGCAGCCTTATTTTTATGTCAGACATTTTCTAACACACTGCTTTTGCAGTGTTGCTTGTATTTCATCATACTAACCAGATTTGGGGGAGAAAAAAACGAAAAAGAAGGCATGGAGCAACAGAAAACAAGTCGCAAGGCTAAAACGGGTCGAAAACCTTCTCCTGAGCTGTGAGCAATTATGACGTGATGTTTCAGCCACCCTTCCCGGACCATGAAGGCATAAAAATAAATCTTATGTGGAAAATGGAATATTGATTATGCAGCGCTGCAGTCGCCGCTGTGCTTTTAGTTCTCAATTATCAGTCGCAAATCAAACTGACTTGCAAGGATTCCAGCACACAGACTTGTTGAGCCTGCGAGAGACACCGTAAGCTGATATTTCTAAATTGCTCCGCTCGTGGTTGCAGTTTCAGCCAGAGCAGCAGCCTGTATAAAGCGTCGCATGAACCTCAAAACAAAATCAGAGTTTGTGGGTTTATTCGAGGCTCCGTGCAGAATATGTCAATACCTTCAGAGTCTATCTGCTTGCCAGCTTACATTAGCAACAACAGCCTCCACGTCACAGACAGACGTGTCACAGCAGTTTATCATGTGAACTCTTAAATAGCAAAGATTTATCGAGTTTGTCTTAGTACGCGGAGAGGGAGTGAAGGTTTTAGAGTAAATGCTCCTCTGGGAGCGGTGGCGGAGTGCTGCTGCTGCTCAGAGGGTGATTTGGCTCGAGGCAACCTGACAGTGAGCTAGACACACACAGACAGGCACACACACACACAAGTAACCCAGCAATAAGCAACATGCAGTCATTTACTCTGTTTCTCCTCAACACAGACATTCACAAATGCCAGCTCCCCTCCCCACTGCTTTCACGGTGAAAATCAATGGTTGCAGAGCCCAACTGGACGGAGTAATAGTGGAAAAATAAAGAAATCAATGCAGACTTATTAACTGAGCAGAGCTTCCTTTACCGCTGACACAAAAATATGTGAGTGTTTGACTTGTCTGTGTCTGTGAATGATGATAGCTGCTGCTGGTTGTAGACAAGATGTGCGAGCGCATAAGCATATGAGCGTCTTCCTCTATGTGTGTGTGCGTCTGCCAGTCAAGAGTGTGTGTCCCTGAACGTTGGTGGCTGGTGCTTGTATATGAGTGTTGTATTGTAGGCGTGCTTTGCATGTTCATGAGCGCTCCTGTGTGTGTTTGTGCATTTTGGTGCGCACCAACAAGACTATCTCTCAAAGTCAGTGTGTTACTCTTGGGTTAGTGCCACAGTGCACTGCCGGAGCCTTGGCCCTCGGTTTATTTGTGGACAAAAGGATGCTCGGAGACAAATGATTTAGCACCTGTCAGTCAGAGCTGAAGGACGGGCGATGAGAAAAGAGAGAGGTCAGAGACTATGGAAAGGGAAAATGATGGCGGCTTTTCAAGGAAACTGTGAAGGGAACAAGGAGAGAAAGAGGGAGGGAAAAGTTGAAGCTGGAAAAAGAGAAAGAGATTCAGAACCAAAAAAAGAGAGCGAGAGAGAGAATTTACAATTTAGCTCTGGGTCATCACATAGCTCAAGTGCCTGTGAGCAATTTTCCCCTGGAAATGACAGCTTCTATTTCTGCAGAGTTGTTTGCCTAACAGCAGCTCACAGGAACTGTGGCTGGCCTTCAGGCCCTGCAAGCAGAAACTTCCCTGATTGCGAGAGTTACCATAACAACGGATGAGGCCGACCTGCACCGATGGCAACGCGGGAATGTGAACTTTGATTCCCGCCTCCAGCACTCTGGCTAGTCTGCTGCACCTCTGACATATCAACACCTACCCTTCTTGGCAAAAACAAGAGCGAGCTGTCGGCGCTGTGAGTGTTTGGTCAGCCAGAATGTAACTGTTCACCAGTGGGTGATGATTTTTTTTGCAGAAACAGATCACTGTGTCAAGAGCAAAAGAGACATTTGTAATTCAGAAATGCCCAAATAAACAAGTCCAGTGCAAAATAATGTTTGCAGAGATGTGCGTGGGCGGACGTTAGGAGCTGCTGGTGAATGCTGAGCAGGGCTTTGTGTGATGCCAGGTTTATTAGATTTCCTTTGGCATTTGTTGACTGACATCTGCCCTGGCAGGTCTCTGCGGCCGCTCTCTCCCTGACTCTTGGCTCGCTCTACAAACCAACAAGCCTTAATCATCTTATGTACACTTTCCCACGTGGTCAATAAAGATATATTGCTGACCTCGTTTTTTTTTAATGCCGAACAAAGCGCCTCCCTCCACAAAAACGTGGACAGCACAGACAGAGGCTTAGCTAACAAGCATCTGATTGTGCAGATTACCGCGTGTTCCGCGAGGGATTACCGAGACAGAAATGAACAAATTGACCTCTTACCACCAAAATCCCACATCAGCAAAACAAAAGATAAGAGTCAAGTCTCTGCTGAATCTAGAAAAAGTGGAGTATACATTGTACTGCAAAACAAGTGTCAGCAGCATTATTTAAAGAAGCCTGCCCCCGCCCGTTGTGTTATTTTTGTCACTGAGTCCTTTCAGTTTGCAGAACCTGATGACTCCATGGGTACCCTTTGTGTGTGGGCCATCCAGACTCTGTATGCGTGCGGTTTTTAAAAAACTGAGCAGCCCTGGAAGCAAGGAGAGAAATGCACGAGCTGTATTCTGGCAGTGCGTCGTTTGCATTGATGTTGGGCTCATGTTCTAACAACAAATATCTGACTGTGCACCCTGTTCTGAGTGTATTCTTAGCCGAGGGCAGGCGTCTTCCTCTCCGGTTCCCCTTCTGACACTTTTCAAGTTAAGTCAAAGCTATTTAGAAGTCATCTCACTGTGAGAAGTAACAAAGGCTCAATGACAGACCAAGGCCTAATTCAGAATTCAATTTTTGTGCTTTCTCTTCCCAACAATAGAAATACCTAATTTCTCTGCATGCTTGTTTGGCGAGCTCCAGAGAGGAAATGGCACGCTTTTGTTAATAAGTGTTTTTTTGGTGAGAGGAGACGATTGAAAAGCTTATGTAGGTCACATTGTATTAATCAAGCTGGCTACCCTTGCAAATGCGCTCTAAATGAAACACACAATGTTAAAAAAAAAAAAAAAAATCCAGTTTTATTTCGTATTTGCTTAATACTGCAGCGTGACCGCACTGAGAATTACTTCTCAGCCACTGAAACAGCAATCCCAGTACTTTTACGCTTAGGCATTTCGTCTGGATTATAACGCTGCCTATGGCGTGGACAGGCTTGATATCGGTCCGACAGAAGAGTTCAAACACCCGGCAAATGAAATATTTATCAGTCACAGTTTATTTCAGGCACAGGACCCTTTCATCATTTAGCTTTAATGAGAGCTGTGTGCATTCTGATGATTAATAGACTAAACGATCTTCAGATCGTTCCAAGCAAGATGCAAATACTATCAGTTATCTGTCCGGGAGACTCTTTAAGTAAACTAGGATTTTTCACAAGTTAGACAAGCTTAACGGGGGAATGTTACGAGCGAATGTTTTCTAACAATGTGAGATTTTAGATTGGATCAATGAGACATCGTCTTCTCTGCTGGAAGAAGCTGCTCCAGGACGAGGCAGGTGGCACAGTAAAGCACGGTAAATCAACCTGCTGTCACGGGGACAGAATGACAGGCTCAGTGTGACATTTCAGTGCATATTATATCTCCAGCCCTCCGGTATCCTCGTGTGACCTGCTGCAGATTAACTATTTTGAACACTGCCGGCCAGCATTGAGTTTTGATGTGAGCAACCAAGCAGAACAATAAATCCCTTCTGGACCGTATAGATGCAAAAAAAAAAAGAAAAAAAACCAAAACGGGCGGAAAAAAAGAAGTGCATGGATGAGTTGCTCTGCGATGGGTTTATATCAAAGCAAGACGTTGCTGTAAGGTGCAGCGAGCAGCCGATGCTGATGGTTTTGATCAGATGATTAGAGCTGGTTACCACTGGAGAGTTGCTTTGAGGAGGTAAATGTGCTTTCTGAGATTACAGAGTTCAAAACAGAGACCGTGACTCTTTGCTACACAATTGTGTGTGTGCGTGATTGTAAGACAAAGAAAGAGACCGAAAATGAGGGAGAGTGTGTTTGTGCATGCATTAAGCAGACAAGAGAGAGGTCCTTGAGGCAACCTGAACATCTTTTATCACATCTTTAATTAATTGAAGCCTATAATAGAAGCTGCTGCAGTCCCGCAGAATAGACACAGTTGAATGGATAATAGCTGGGGATGAAGAGATACGCTTGTTTTTGCTTGCTTTCTTGTCAATCCTCCCTTGCCATTTCACAGTTATATGCTTTAACAGCACATCTGGAGCTGCTGTCAGTCTCCGCTTTGAGAATAAAGTGCATTAACCAAGAAGAGAGAAATGTTTTCCCCTTTTTTCCCATCTTCTCTTTTCAGGTTCTGCCTCTGAAGACCTACTGTAAAGCCGTCATGGGCCTCTTGTGGTTCTCCAGACTAATCCTGATCATCCTAGTCCTCATCCCGCAGCCGTCCCTGGGCTGTCCCTCCGGCTGTCGCTGCTACAGCCTCACAGTGGAATGCGGATCTCTCGGGGTCAAAGAAATCCCACAGGGCATCCCGTCTGTCACCGAGGTCAGTTGGACTGTATGTTAGAGCACTAGTTGCCCGTGCCCCCGCCCCATCCAAACACACACACATGCACACCAGAGGTTTTCAGTTGACTTCCTCTCTGATCCATTCTTATTACCCTGAAATGATTGTGGTTAATCAATTCACCGTGACCCTCTTTGATGTAAGCCTGAGGGAAGGGCTGCGCTGTTGGCTGTGTAATTATTCATTCTTGCTCAGAGCGCGACTCTTGCACACGCTCTGATCATCTGTTGCGAAGATGTTTAACATTATGCCGTGGTTTTTTTTTCCTCTTGGGTTCAAACCCACCCCCCCAACATCACTGCAGCTCATGAATATTAATGTAAAGCATGCCCTGCATAAATTGTTCCATTAACCTCAATCAGCAGGTCTATCTCGTCCATCACACTTTACCTCGTGGCCCCCATGTTTTCTTCCAAGGAAGCGTCACAGATGAATGCATATTACCAATCAAGCTGCAAAATTGTGCATGCCAGATCCAACGCAGAAAGCACGTCTCATAAAAAAACTCAGTCTAATGTTCTTTTTTGGGGATATGCTGACTTAAAAGACCTGTGATTTCTGACTAAGACACGTGAAACGCAACCAACTACCATTACTACCACAGTGCTCATTCAGGCAGAATATAACCCATGTCCTTCTCAATTTACAGATGGCCCCTAAACACATCACATGCAGGTAATCATATACTGACAACAAGAAGGTTGCACTCGCAGAATGTGCGTGGGTGTGACTGTGCCGGCTCAAAATGGGGCTCTGCAGAACAGGCAGATTGTTGGCTGCAGCTAAAAGATGTAAATAAAAGATGGACCTAGCCACTGTGACATCACTCATTGTGGAGGCTCAATATGAAGCCTGATTTTGAATGTCTATGTCTTCACCCGGTGTTTTGAAACTGAACGTGTAGGGCAAAGGGGCAGATCTGGTTCAGAAACAGAGGCTTGAAACTTTTCAGTAACATAGTAAAGCATACCCTCAGCTGTCTCTGGGCTGTCCCTCCGGCTGTCGCGCTTCCAGCCTCACAGTGGAGTGCAGATCTCTCAGGGTCAAAGTTCCGGTTTGTTAAGTCAACGCATTTTACTCAATTAAAATCATGTTGTATTCATTATGACTTGAAATTAGTGATGGATCCTATTGGGAGAGTAGGATCGCAGACAAGTGAGCTGATATGAGAACCACTCAGCCAAACCTATCTGAAGCTTACATACTTTGGATGTTATTTGGATTCTCAGCAACACATATGCCAGATTTGAGAAAGATCAGATGAACAATGATTACCGATGATAGGTTTAGAGCATACAGACATCATTAGAATTTGTAAGATTATCATAACTGTGAACTAGTTCATTCTGCGGTACATGGAACACCACACATGACTACATTTAACATGCACAGCCCAGTGAGACAGTGTTTCAAGGTGGATCTGTTTCTGGTTTAATCCATTGTGTGGTTAATTTCTACCCGCTGAGTGCAGCACAGCTATAAGCCACACTCATTTTCTTGTACAAAACAAACCTCAGATGAAACCTCACATCCTATCTTCTGTTTCCCTAATGTAATCAATGTGTGATCACTCTGCTAATTTCATTTACCCTGTCGTCCATAAAGACCATTTTCCTCCAGGACAACGCGATAGTGCAGATCCGTCTTCAGGACCTGACTCGCCTTGGCAGCCTCCATTATCTATACCTGCAGAACAACAGCATCTCAGCCCTGGAGCCCGGGGCTTTTCTCGGGCAGGGGCAGCTGCTGGAGCTGGCCCTTAATGGTAACCTCATCCACCTGGTTACCTCTGATATGTTTCGGGGTCTGGAGCACCTAAGGATCCTGTATCTCGCCGGCAACCAGATCACTCGAGTCCAGGACCACACCTTCAGAGGACTACAGGTTAGGTTGTGTCAGCCCGAATGTATTAGTTGGAAATAATTAATGCAAACTTTGAAATAGGTGTTCTAGGAAACAAATATAGAATGTTTTTACAGAATGATGTCTTCAAATCTAAAGCTATGTTCACACTGCAGGCGAAAGCGCATCAAATCTGACTTTTTTGACCCTATGTGACCCATATCCGATCATGGTATGACAGTGTGAACAGCACAAATCCGATATTTTCAAATCCGACCTGGGTCACTTTCGTATGTGGTACTGAATCCGATACATAGCTGATGTTTTAGAAAGTGACTGCTGTTTGAATGGTCATGTTGCATTAAATCCAGACGCCAATTATCAGCGCCGGAGAAGCGCCAGGGCAGCTGTGGCTACAATGTGAATGTGTGTGTGAATGGGTGAATGACTGAATGTAGTGTAAAGCGCTTTGGGGTTCTTAGGGACTGAGTAAAGCACTATACAAATGCAGGCCATTTACCATCCAGTGAAACTGTCGGGAAGACAACGTTGGAGAAACGTGAACATTTTATTTGTACTGTATAATCTGCAGATTCTGACAGAAATCTGCAACTATCCTTTGAAGCACCGCTCCTCAAAAAACAGCAATAAGGATAATTATTGGGCCATATGTAAATAACAAAATAACTTTATAACTTAAAGCAAAATTGGGAAACGTAAAGTCCGAAACAAGTCTTTATATTAAGGGCCATCAGTCAAACAATACTGTTTGGTCTGGGTCTAAACAGAGCGAGTTGTGTGTGACGTCTTCTTTTGCACATGCGGGCCGCTTTGAGGGTTAACACTAGAGTGCGTTTGCTGTCGCATTTTATTTGTAGTGTGAACAAGCAGACAAAAAAATTGGATTTGATCAAAAAATCAGAATTGAACATTAAGAGCTGCAGTGGGAGCGTAGCCTAAGTCTTATTCGTGACTGATGTCTCCTTAATCCCTAGCATGTGGTGATACAGTACAGACTGACTCAGGTGGAGCTGAGACACCCTCCTGTCACTATACTGGATAATTCTATCCCTTATGAACTTGCACATTTTATACTTACCTCTGCTTCCCCTGCTTTGTGCCATTTTTGCTGTCTGCAGCGTCTGCAGGAACTCCACTTGCAAGAAAACAGCATTGAGCTGCTAGCTGAGCAAGCCTTGTCTGGATTGTCGTCTCTGGCCTTGCTGGACCTCAGCAGGAATCACCTCCGCACCCTGGGAGCTTCATCACTCAAACCGCTTGTCAGTCTGCAGGTGCTCCGTGTTACAGGTAGGTAGAATTCCTAGATTATATTAAGTGTTACTATAATATGATAGAATCATCCAACACTGATTTTAATTCAAGGTGCCTTGAAAAACTTCTCTCTTTCCACACTTCTGAATAACTCACACCCCTGCAATAATGTATTTCCAACCACTGAAATTCACACTCTACCAATGAAATTATAACAGCGGGTCACAGCAGGCAGACTTCCGAGAATTAAAACCAGAGGAAAAAGCCAACTAAATTAACAAAACAGCTAATTAATGGGACCTCATGTGGAGGAGCCTGTTTACTCAGATAAAATCTGGTAATCCCTCCTCCCACACTTTTCTAAAGTTGGACTGACCCTTACTGTAACTTCCAAGAAAGCAACAATCCCAACTTCACACTCATTACATTTAATGACAGAGGCATTAATGGATTCAAAGAGTGAACTTCTCTCCAAGTTTGACATTTTTGTCACTGTCTATATGTCCCAAAGAGTGTAAAAAATGTACACAGTCTGTTTTTGTTATTATTTAAACAGCTCTATGATGTCTCTGTGACTATAAACATGAACAATGATTTAGTCTTGATTACTAAGGCCCATGGTCTTGCAGTGGGCTCAAAAGAACTCCACAGCACCACAATATGTTTTTTGTCCTGTCTCACTCCCATTATCCTCAACTGGTCACGGCAGAGCCTGGTTATGCTGGAAGTTTCTTATGTCCTGGGTTTGAAATCTTGGTAAATCTAAATTGCCCACAGGTGTAAATGTGAGTGCAAATGGTTATCTGTCTCTCTGTGGTAGCCCTGCGACAGGCTGGCAACCCGTCCAGGGTGTACCCCGCCTCTCACTCTACAGCAGCTGGGATAGGTTCCAGCCCCCCTTGACCCTGATTGGATAAGCGGAAGAGAATTGATGGATAGATTAATTGAATTGAATTAGAAAGTTGATATTACATGAACAAAAAAATATATTTAACAAATCCACTTCAGTAGATCATGCAGGTGGCCAGGGTTACGTTCCACCATGCTATCAGATTTATGCTAGGTTAATTTTGACCTTGAAAACTGCGTTCCGTTTATGTCTGTTTCCTTAACTGCTTTCTTTCATTCCCCTATAGAGAACCCATGGCGCTGTGATTGCGCTCTTGGCTGGCTGAAAACCTGGATAAGCGAAGACGGACAGCGTCTCTTGAGTTCTGCAGAGCAGCGTCGGCTAATGTGCTCTGAACCTCCTCGCCTCTCCCACCTCAGCCTGGTGGAGGTACCTCCAAACAGTCTGGTCTGCATCCCTCCAGTAGTGCAGCTCGAGCCAAGCCACCTGACCGTTCGCCTAGGAGAGAGTCTTCGAGTCTCCTGCCAGGCCTCGGGATACCCTCAGCCTCAAGTGACTTGGAAAAAAGCCTCCCATGGTAAACCACAGTTGTCACCTCGAGGCCTGGTTCAAGAGCTGGGACCCAATGGGGAGCTGTTTAGGCCTGGGGCCGGTGGAGCAGTGACAGCCTTACCAAGCAGTGGGGGGATCAAGGTGGGAGGTGTTGGAGCAATCCACGGGCCGGTACGTGGAACTGAGGAAGGTGGCGAGAGGGACAGCTTTGATCCAGACATGGGCAGCGGCATGCTGTTTCTCAGCAATGTCACCGTAGCACATGCTGGGCGCTACGAATGCGAGGCCTGGAACCCTGGTGGTGTGGCTAGGGTTACTTTCCACCTAGCAGTCAACATGTCTTCTTCCTCCTATTCATCTCAGTTTTGGCCTCGTTTGAACACTCACTCCTATGTTTCATCTTCGTCCAACTCCTTTTACCAGCCTGAGGTTGTGGATGTTAGCCAGGAGCCTCTGTATGAGCAAGACAGCATGGACTTTAATGCCCTGGGCCCTGCCACACAGACTGCTATTGCTGTTGGCATCTCCTTGCTGGCACTCACTGCTGTTCTCCTCTTGATTATGATCTACACTCGTCACCAGCAGTATCAGAAAGATGACACTGGCTCCTATTGCACGAGCAAGGAAGAGAGCATCCTCTATGTGAACGACTACTCTGATGGACCCACCACCTTTGCGCAGCTGGAGGAGTACCGCGATGACCATGGCCACGAGATGTACGTACTCAACCGAGCCAAGCCGGTCCTGGGTTCCACTTCGTCTGCATGTCCCATGATGAGCGGGTTTGTCCAACAGAAGGGCATGAAGGAGGCTCTCCTCGATCACGAAATGGTTCAGACTCTGACACGATCGGGGGGATTGGGACTACGCAGAAACCCAGCGGATGGGGGAGAGGGGCCCCTAACAACAGACCCAGAAGAGCTCTTCCTCAGTCAGAGTCTCCTGTTCGGATCACAGGTTGCCTATGAGATCCATTGTTAAGGAGTCATTATTATGCTCTGGCATGAAACAATATGTTGATGGACTTTTAATTAAAGACAATAATGGAAATCACCTTGGTGCAGTGATTTGAAGCATCAGATTATTATCTGGCCTTTTAAAGAGGGGAGATTGTCAGTCAGTAATTTCTGGGGGAGCCTGGTTCACAAGTGGCCTCTGAGAGAGCTTCTTGATTGACTGTATGACACTCGTGATGGGTTAAGAAGACTGACGATTGAAGGGGAAATAACACACGAACCACAGCTTTCTGTCTCAAAATCAACCCTTTAAGGATAACTCTAGGTGGCTAACCTCGTCAGAAATGTTTAGTTACACTAAAAAGAGGCTGAAACGATGCAGCACACAGTGTCTGCTTTATTCTAATTTCGTTCGTTACGCTTTACTTTTCGTGTTTCGTCTATGTTTTGTGTAGTATATTACAAAGTTAATTCTCAGAGTGAAGTACAGTTGTTTTGTGAATCCTGCTACACATCCCATTAGAATTAGGCCTAAAGCAATCCTCTTACTGAAACTACATTAACATTACCCATATGTGCGAGTGGGTGTGGGTAGGTGGATTTGTTTATAGAGGTTCATTCTGAATGCAGAAATCTAGTCTTTTTTATGTTTGTATCATAGCATTGTTTTTCTTGATGTTAACATGTTGTGTTGTTTTATACCTGCTGACTGCAACACTAGAACAAGATATTAGCATTTCTAATGTGTGAAGTCGACTCTCTGAAAGAACTCAAGCTTCATTAACGTCAGTCTGTGATTACCATTATGATGTTAATAATGTACATTTTGTCTTTGGTTTCTACATAATAAAATGTATTTTAAAAGAGAAAGTTTTTCCCTTTTCCCTCTTTTTCTGACTCTATAGACCATATTTGAAGTGTGTAGTTTTTCCCTGTGGTCTTCCCTTCATTCTATGAGATGTGAAAAGGGCTTTATAGAGAGACTGTAGATCTGAGTCACAGTGTAGAGGCCAGTCTGTGAGAGGTCAATGGTTCATAAACCATTTATTCTTTCCCTTTTCCGCTAAACACTGCAGATATCAAGTGTCCTTTCACAGCTACTTGTGGACTAAGATAGATGGTTGCAACTGAAAATGTGTTGAAAACCCAAATAATCTCTGCTGCTTTACACCAAGACCCAGAGCTGTATTGATTCTTGTTCAAAAACATGTCAATATTCTTTTTAAACTGGCCTCTCTGTAGGTATTTTAAAGCTGTTTATTACTGAGTATTAAATGTCATGGTTATGCTATGCAGCTTAATAAGGATTACAGCCAAAGGACATGTTTTAAAAATGTAAAGCCTGCTTCTGTCTGCCACTAACACTGAAAGTATCAGTACGATGCCACGGAGCCAAATAAACAAAAGTATTGTATAGTCTGAGAATGCTCTCTTAAATAGTCCAGAACTGGTATATGCACAAGTGAACCATCCTGTGCATGTAGTACATTTTTGTTGCAGTATGTGTTTGCTGAAGGTGGTTTCTATATAGCTATATGATAAAACAAGCAAAATTGCTTCAAAATTGTTTGGTTTCATGAACTTTCTAGACAAGAGCCATTTTTGAAACAAAAAACAAACAAGCAGCTCTGTTTGGGGTTGAAAATAGAGAAGGTGGCACAGGCTTCAGGTATCAACATACTAACTAACTTTTAGTGCATAAAACATGGACATGCAGTGCCATATTTATGATTATTTGCATCATTATGCATTTTGGAACCTAGAGCTTGGCAGACTAAGGAGTAGACATTTTTGTATATATATCTACTGTAGCCGCCGCTATTGAGGTTCATCAAAATTAAGCAATAAGGCACCAGAGAGGTTTGGTGAAGTGGGTCTTACTGTCTGGCTGAAGAGCTTCAGTTTAAAATCATGATTCTTTTATTTGCTTTCCTCTAAGTCTGATATAGATTCTCTCCTGAAGAAATAACTTTTATATAAGCGATCAGTAAAGCTTAACGTTACTGAATGAAGCCTACTTACAGTAAACTGTGCAGCACATTATCACTGCAGTGTGCATGTATACAAGTACACTTAGTCCAAATGCTGCTGAGTTACACTGTTGGACTTACAGACACTGGAACACAGATTAGAAAACTGATTAGTTACATTTGTAGCCTATCACCAACAATGCCTGTTTCATCGCCAGAATAAAAAATCCTTTATTAGGCTGACAGCAACCTTTAATGTTTAAATGTATCAGTTTGATGTTGCAGAGCTCTAACGTGGAACTGTCATGTTAGAAATAAACAGCAGTACTAAGAGCATTAAAACATAAATGTGGCACGAATGACGGACCCCACCACATTATCACACTTGTCAACACACACTTTATTTCCTCTTGTGGTTTCCACAATACTCGCACCTGCAGCTTTTCAGTTCCCACCCGCCCATACGCCACCAACAACAACGACTACAACAGGACCCAGTACAGACTTTTATACAGAGCTTCCCACGCAACGAACCACGCCTCGCCACATACCCCCACCACCCAACTGAGGCTGGGGCCATGTCCAGCTGAAGACATCAGCTAAGACTTGTACTTTTTCATAAGTCCTCTAGTGACTGCACCTACTCTGGAAAGAGGTAAGCACACATATACAAACACATGCCAGTGGGAGACACAAAACACAGAAGGAGAAGGACCTCAATGAATGTATCGGCCGTTGCAAATGAATATCAAGAATGTTTTGGAAAAAAGGGAGATCAAATAATCAATTGGCCAACCAACCCACATTAGCATAAAGACTGAGACTAGAAAAACAGCTAGCCTGCCTATTCATTACTACAAATAACTCTGGATTCGTTTTATACCCAGATTTCCGTTTGATGGTATGATCACTAATGGAAAACTCAGTTTCAGGTGACACTGTACATACAGATTTGCCAACAGCAGCATTACCGCCAGGGAGCTAAGCTAACACAAAGGATAAAAGTACAGCATTCCCCAGACAGAAAAAAGACACAACCATCTGGCTGAAACTCACAACAACACCTTCTTATCACAGATGATGTATTATGCTGCCTATCTCACACAATGAAATGTGAAATACTCTTATTCCAGTTGCCCCCACCAAGTAAATGGATTTTCTTTGTGTCTACTATAACACAATTCGCGGGCTGTGTCATTGCATGTCCGACAAAGCTCGGCTCACAATGGTTGTCATGGGCACAATGGATTCAGTACATATAAGTCATCAGGCTAATGTTGCTGTGTCTGATTGAGTCTTACTTTCTCTGTGTGGATCACAGCAGGTAGACAAAAACACAGAAGCAAGCATAAGACTGTCCAATAAAACTGCAGTACATCCAAAAATGGCAACGCTTGCTCGTCTCCATTAAGGCATAAAAGCTGAATGCATTGAAACCACATTGTGCACCTTTGCTAATCACTCCAAATGATTCCCTCAACCAGTTTACCTGCAGACCCATTCTGGTTATTAGAGACCTCCCTAATTGATTTAACAGACAGAAAGTTATGCAAAAATAACACTAATGATGGCAGTAATATGGAAATCAAGACTTTTAATGTACTGCCACTGCTAAGTGCACCTCAAATGAGTAGTCAGTACATGATTTTTGATATTCCAAAATACACGGGCACTTTGCAATACAACATTGGTCACTGTGTGAGTGGATTATTCCCCATTTTTCATGCAGGAGGCAGTTTATGGTTTCTGAAAGGCATATTGTAGGGATGAATATGTTTAAGATTGAAGAAGAGATTAGAGTTTTTGGTTTATTAAAACCCTTCAAGGACTGCCAAGGGCAGCTGTCAACATTAAAAATTGAATTCTTTTCATTAAAAAGATAGAACGGGAGAGTTTAGCACACGTTACTAGTATAATATATATTCACAATAGGTACGCACACAAGCCTTTATTGCTGAGATGTTTTGCCAGTCTGATGTAGCTGTCTCTTTTTTATGCCTAAGTGATCCCATCAATCAACACGTGAGTGAGGATGCAGCAGAGAGGAGTGAAAGCTCATGGTTCTCATACTGATGCTGTTCTTTTCTTTTTTGTTATTTTTTTATTTTGCTATTTTATTTTTCCCCATCTACACCTTTTCTCAAACATCTGTTTTCATCTCTCTTCAAACTCACTTCCACACAAGGGAATTAATTTTTCTGTAAGGTCAAATATGAGATATGTGAGACTGAATTATTGACGCATTTCTGCCTCGCCTGTCCTTTTCCCAGAAGAAGGGTTTGCACAAATTCCATCTAATGCTTCATGGCACTAACTTTGTGCACAGATTTCCTCCGCACATGCTTTTTTGTTTTGGATTTATGCAACTTTGATGGTGTTTAAACTGTTTTACAACGTGAGATCAGATGTGAGATTTATTCATATTTAACAGCTGTAGTAAATATGAATACCAGAGCTGGGATTGTAAGCTTGTGCGTAACTGCAGAAAAAACAAAGAGTAAGAAACAGTAATTAACCCCCTGTGTGTTGTTTCAAGTCAAGTGGAATGTTTTTCAGCAGCGGTGTTTAGTTTGGATGCTCGGTTGAAAATGTGGAATTTTTTCCGTAATCATTTTTATTCGAGGCATGATTGAACACAGAGTGATATTTCACCCAGGTTTACATGATCCAAAGCTAGAAAATCTATTCAGGTCATTGCTATGTTTTTTAGCACGAACTGTGGAAAACAGAAGAGAGATATAAAAATCAGCCATCGGTCTGCTTTCTGTCCCTCGCACTAACCTCCATACCTTTGGGGACACAACCTTCAGTGTGGCGGCCCCCACTTTCTGGTACTTTCTCCCATATGATCTTCCCAATGCCACGTCACTGGACGGTGCATTGGGCTGGGCTTCTCAGAACTCACCTCTTCAACAAAACCCTCAACCTCAAGCAAATAGTGTTTTTACTCTTGTGTAAAGTGTCCTTGGGTTTCTTGAAAAGCGCTATACAAATCTAAGTTGTTGTTGTTATTATTATTATTATTATTATTATTAAAAATTCTCACCTCACTTTGTTTCTCCCAAGCCAACAGGTACAGCAGAGGCCTGTGGAAAGAAAAATGTCAGGTAATCACACTGATAAAAAAAAAGATTATAGATCTCAAATATGACTGATTATGACTGTATTGATAAAAATCATTATTTTTTTAATGTTATGACACGAGTAAAGTCACCAGCTGCCATAATAAAGCAGTGACTTTATTAGGTGCTCATAACAAATACTGACTTTTAAGCTTCCCACATAGCAAAATTGGTATGGCCCAGACGTGGCCCACACAATGTGCTTACACATGGCCCACATACTGCAAAGAATGACGGCCCTTTGGTGGCCCAGATCTGGTTTGCCAAATGTGGCCTATTCATGGGCCAGCACAAGGCCAGTTGCAGACACACTGGTGGCCGTGTCCTGGCCCATGTGTGGATTATCTCTGGCAAACCTGGTCTGGGCAACCAAAGGGCTGTCATTCTTTGTGGTATGTGGGCCATGTGTAAGTTGTGTGCAGCCACGGGCCAGTTGCAGACACACTACTGGCCCTGTGCTGGCCCAGAACAGTTTCAGCTCTGGCCCCAGATGTCAGCCTAATGTGTACCTTAATTAAGCCATGTAATAACAACATGTGCATAATAGTGCAAAAGTAACATGAAAAAACTCTGTTCAGACAGTGAATGGACTGATTCTTCAACTCTCCCAGATTACTGAAAGTGCTCTATACAACATGCCACATTCACCCAATCACACACTTTCTCTTAACTGAGTGCTTCCTAACTACATTCATACACTTTCACACTCTTGACATGCAGACTGGATGAGCCAGGGGACCGAACCACTAACCTTTGAATCAGTAGATGACCTGCTCTACCGCCTGAGCTACAG